TTAATATATGATTATTTGCTTCTACATGTTTTTTCAGGATCATGCCTTTTGAATAAAATATACTACATGCGTGTTGATTTTAATAACGTACAAAAATTTTTCAGTTGTTTTGAACCTACCTTTGTAAGATATTGGTACTATTCTCTTATTACAGTCATTACTGTTTAATAGTTAATTGGAAACACTGATAAAGTACAGAGTATTCCTAAGCAAAATTGGTCTTAATTTTTTAGAATCTTCTTAAGAGGATTTATAGACAGAATGTATGAGTTTAGCCAGTATCCCCTAATTGTGCTTAGGTTACTCTTTCCATTATTGATCAGAAGTAACTGCTGCAAAATTTCTGTTCTGTGTTTTTATGTAATAAAGCTGGTAAGTTATACCAGAGATTTAGCAGACATGTAACATGGGTGGTTGTGAATCACAAATCAGAAAATATGAAAAAATTGTCTTAAGTTCCTGGTGACAGTTTATAGGTTTATGACTTTGAATGTACTTTGTAATTATACTTCTTAATATTTTTTCTTTTTTATTTGATAATTAGGGAATAAAACTAACAGCTTAATTTTTACAGTTGGCCAAGTCTGCAGTTTTCTTGTGAGGCCCTCAGATAATACTCCTGGTGATTATTCACTTTATTTTCGGACCAATGAAAATATTCAGCGATTTAAAATATGTCCAACACCAAACAATCAGTTTATGATGGGAGGCCGATATTATAACAGGTAAATCATGAGAAATTTTTAGTTATCTTTTACTTTTGGCAAACTACTTGAAATCTTGATAATATAGTATATCAGATTCAAAATTATATAAAAGGTCCTCACTTTTTAAAATTACAAGACCTTTAATATAAGGTCTTGTAGTAGTCATGCCCAAAAATTTTTTAGGCAATGTCATAGATGAATAAAAGTTGATAACTTATAATTTGCGATTTAAAAAATTATTTGTACATTAGCTATTTGCAACAAATTTGCTAACTCCATATATTATCTGTAGGAGAAGCAAAACATCTAATCTAAGAAAAAGAAAATATATTCTTTTATCAGTGAGATGTTTTAATAGGAAACAAAGGTTCCTAAAGAGTTACCTGAGATTTATTTAATGTTCCTATGTAATTGGGTTGTTCTCAAGTCGATATTTCTTATTTGTAATTATTAGTTTCTACTTCTCACCTTCAAAGTAAACTCTCTGCTTATCTCAAAATTCACAATGAATTTAAGTTACTTGATTACTAAGATAAGTTAATAGAGGAAATCACATGGTAGAATGTCAGCATTTTTTCTGTAAAATAGAAAGTAATCTTCATTTCTGGATAAAGGTTTTCCCATACCTGATTACTCGAGTAGCATTGTTTTCCTCTTTTGGAGACTGGCATAATCTTGTTCTAAAATACTGATATTTGCCTAGTTTTGCCCCTAAATATCACAGCAGCATTATCCATCCCAATTAGAATTTCTCTCAATTCCAGCTAGACTTTTGCATGAATAGAGATCCAGCAGCTGGTTTATCTGGAAAATAAAACAAAAAAGTTCTTCTAGTTGCTTGCTAGAGTTCAGTGGACAGTTGTAAGATATCAGATGGAAGATATGAGTCTAGGCAGTTGTACCCTTTTTCATACCTTCTTTGCACATTTAAGCTGCTTGAGTACCCTCTACATTACATTTCAGGTTCTAGACATGCTCGTCGAAAATGTAGCTAGCTGCAATTTGAACTCTTTATATAGGAAAATTTATTTTTTCTGTTGTCTGGTTTTCTAGAGATTTGGAACATATACAATTATAAATTAAAAACATCGTCTTCTTAACTAAATAAATGTACGTATTGAGTTTTTTAAGATAAAAT